TAGCCAGCAGCCCACCTGCTGGGCATTCGCCATCCTGATCTTGCTGTGAATGAGAAACTGAGCCAGCAGGAGACCCCAAACACAGGCAGGAAGGGAGTGGAACAAGCCCTGGAGGAAAGCACCCCTTTATTTCCCTGTGTCTGCACCAGCCTGAGAGTTTACTGTGCCTCCTCACTCTTTTCACCTTAAAAATGCGGCAGAACTTCTAGGTATGTACCCCAGAGAATTGAAAACAGGGACTCAAACAGGTATTTGTACTCTCATGTTCACTGCAGCATTATTCACAATAGCCAAGGGTGGAAACAACCCAAATGTCCTTCCATGGAGGAATGGATAAACAAAATGTGGTACACACATACAATTATTGTTGTAATACAATGTATGATTCGGCCGTAAAAAAGACTGAAATTCTGAGATGTGCTACCACATGAATGAATCTTGAAAACACTATGCTAAGTGAAATAAGCAGTCACGAAAGGACACATATATGGTTCCACTGATATGAGGTAACCAGAATGGACAAACTGATGGAGACAGGAGGCAGAACAGGGGTTGCCAGGAGCTGAGGCGAGGACGAATGGGGCATTGTTTAATGGGCACAGTTTCTGTTGAGATGATGAAAAAGTTCTGGAAATAGATAGCAATGATGCCTACACAACATTGGGAATGTACTTAATGCCGCTGAATTGCACTCTTAAAAATGGTTACGACGGTACGTTTTATGTTATGTACATTTTACCACAATAAAAAAAGGAGGCGTAAGTGCCTGACTGCACTTCCAGCCTGATAGCTGAGGAGGTGGACCATGAGGACAGCACTATCCCCCTCTCCCTCCTCCTCCCTCTTCTCTGGTAAAGAGAGAAAGCTCTGGGCTCTTCTGCTGAAGGTGGAGTTTCTCAGCTGCCTAGTTGGGACTCATTCTGGAACATACAAGTGAGTCCAAGTGACATGTTAGCCTGGGTTCCCCTGGGAAAGCAGAGTTCCTGGAGTCATCCCAGTAGCAGGAGTCCTGGGGGGAGTGACACGGGCGGAGGGAGAGCCAGGCAAAGGGGTGTTATTGATCTGGTCACCACTGTGGGCAGCTGGGGCTCAATCCACTGGAACCTGCTGAAGGGCAGTGTTGTCCGCACCTCAATTGTCACTTGAGGCCAGAGAGAGTGTTTGTCCTGGTCTGTTAGCTCCTCACACTTCCAGGGTGCAGGGACCAGGTGCCAGGTGGGTCCCTGCAGGGATCTGCTGGCGAGTGTCAGAGGAGCCCGGGGCAGAAGTCACTCGGGACAGGTGAGGTGAGGCACTGTCAGGCCACACTGCATCAATCTGATTGGGCAGGAATCACTGGAGAAGGAGGGGGCATTGTGAGGACACAGGAGGTGTCCAAAACAAGTGACCAGTGAAGAGAGTCCTTTTTTTCCCTCTGGGCACCAAAATTCTGCAGGGTGGAAATGGGTGGCAATGCCTGTTTTCTGTCCCTTTCCTCGGTGAGCTAGTGTGGGTTTGGGGTGATTACTGCCCCCAGGCTCCCTCTCAGGACTGTGATGTGGTCCCGTGAGAGGCCACTGGAGCCTGGGAGAGCCCAGAAGAGTGAGACCGAGCTGCTGCTGCAGGCGGAGCTGGGCTCTCCATACTCCTGGAAACACTCCTATCTAGTTCCCACAAAACCCAGTCCTCTGCTTGTACCTGTGCAGTGAGCCAGGAAGCCCCTGATAAGATCTTAAGTCTTCGAGGAATAATGGGCGCGGCATTAGGCACTGGCTTTCCCTGCAGGTGGCTCCTTTTCAGCCCTCTCTGGACTTCAACCTTATCATCCCATCTCTCTGAGGCTGGCCACCTGCCTAGGGCCCAGCCCTCTAGAGTGGGCAGCCCAGTTGGGGAGTAAGAGACACACACACAGCACTTGAAGAATTCACTGGGCATTGGAACGGCAGTGGGGACTGGAGAAGTGGGAGATGTCCTGAGGGCCTGAGCAGGCTGCCAGGAGGTGGGGTGGGGAGGCTGTGGGGTATAGGCGGACCTGGAGCTCTGCTGTGCAAACTTGGACAAGTTACTTAACCTCTCTGAACCTCAGTTTTCTCTTCTAAGTAGTATAATTGTACCGATTTCACAGTAGCTGTGAGTGGGAAGTGGGTGAAGGCATACCAAGTGCTGAGAAGAGTGCCTGGCGCACGACATGGGTCCAGTCCACATTCGCCGTTCCTGTTAGTAGAAGTCACAGTATTCATGTCCAAAGGCCAAAGCTGGGTGAATCCTTTGCCCACTAGATGCCATTAAACCAGGGGATTGGGCTAGGGGCTGGAAGGCCTGACAGGTGCTGTTGCAACATTCCATGAGTATAAGGACCTCAAGATTTGGTAGGTGGGGGGGAGGGGAAAGTGCCTCTGGGTGCGGGGCACAGCGTGAGCAGAGCACAGAGGCAGAAAGAGCGTCGCATGTTAGTTTTCTATTGCCGCATAACAAATTACTACAAACCTAGTAGCATAAAACAATACCCGTTTATTATCTCACAGTTCTGGAAGTCAGAAGTCTGCTCAGTATATCATGAGGCCAAAATCAAGGTGTCGGCAAGGCTGAGTTCTTGTCTGGGGCCTCCGGGGGACAAAATCTGCTCCCAAGCTCATTGATATTTGGCAGAATTTACTTCATTGCAATTGTAGGACTGAAGTGCCCTTTTCCTTGCCGGTCATTGACCAGGGATTGCTCTCAACTCCTAGAGGGGCCCACAATCCTTGCACATGCCCCCCCTTCTTCAAGCCAGCAGCAGCACATGAGTATTTCTCATGCTTTGCATCTCTGTCCCCACCCCAGTCCCAGATTTAAGGGCCTCCTGTGATTGGATCAGGCCCTCCTGAATAGTCTCCCTGTCTTCAAGTCCACTGATTTGGAGTTTAGTTATATTTGCACATCCCCCTCCCAGGAGTACCTGGGTTAGTGTTCGATTGAATAACTGGGAGAAGGTGTACACCCAGGACCCTCTTAGGGTTCTGCTTACCACATGTGGTGTGTGCCCACAGGAGCAGAGTAGCCAGGGGGCTGGAGGGGGGCACAGGCAGCCATTGCAGCAGGAGGGGTAAGGTGGGTATTGGTGGTAGGAGTGGTATAAGGCCGCTGTAGGCCTTGAAGGACAGATGGAGGAAGGGGCATTGGACAACCCCACCCCCACCCCCAACTGTGGCCCTGTACCACTAGGCACCCTTATCCCCATCTGAGCCGACTCCCTGCAGACCCACTGCCACCCCGGCCTTCACACCTGGGTGCCCTCCCTCTGATGAGGACACCACTCAGGCCTGAAACCTCGGACTCTTCCCTCTGGGATAGGTGGACACACGTACAAGCCCCAAGACCACTGAGCTCAAGAGCCCAGAGCACACCGCCTACTGCATGGCACAGCTCCCCTGCAGCTGGCCTGTGGTCCAAGGGAGGCTGGGCCCTCTGCAGCAGCCAAAAGCCAAAAACCAAGTCAGGAAACCAGTTGAAAAAAGTGTGTCCACCCAGGGCGGTTCTTCCTCCCTTCGCCAACCCCAACCTCTGAAAAAAACAGCGAGGGTCAGGGGGAGTCAGCATTCCGGGTCTCAGCAGCATTTCTGGAACCCAGTGGGCCATTATTTGTCCTGTTCTGGATCCACTACAGTTAAAAGCTCAACAAACCCTTGATTACTGGTGAATACCTATGTTCCAAAAAAGTTCTCAGTAATCCAAGGTTTTGAAACTCAAATCTTCCTTTAAACATACTAGGACCTTGCTTTTATCATCCACGGTAACATTTTAGACACACACAGCCTTTTGTTGTCTTGGAGCTCTGTGCACACATTATTCAGTTCTCTGCTATCTAACCATGGTTTGGTAGAAGACCATTCTACGAGTTCTGATGTGAAACTGCGTGCAGGCTCTGCTTTCTCCAGCTGAGTGGGCTGCACCCTGAAGAGCACAGACCTCCAGACAGTGAAAGGGACACCAGGCAAGCTTTAAAGCCCCTTCCCATTGGCCTAGAGCCTGTCAGGAGGAAGCAGAGGGTCCCTCGTGGGAAGGGACCTAGAGGTGAGAAAGGTTCCAGCTCTCCCCACTTCTGAGTGGGTCAGGTGGGAGATTTTGGGGACAGGAGTGGGCAGTGGAAGTGTCCCTGGAGGCCTGGGGCCCCTGCAGCAGCTGGGTCCACCCTGTCCATCAGGGAAGGACAGCACTTTTGTCACTGGACTTTAGCGGATTTCCCTGGAATGCTGGTCACATTATGTCAGGCCGTCCCAGAGAGAGGGCCCAAGGATTGACGAGGGAGTCCTGCTCCTGTGGAGGGTGGGCAGGCAGCGTCCATGACTAGGCCACGCCCTCCCAGACAACCCATCAGGCCTTTCAAGTTCTATCATTACATCCAGTCACGTCGCTACAGACAGAGCATGGCGTGTGTCCCACCCAGGAGCCGCACCATGACAAGGCTGCAAAATTGTGTTCATCACTTACGGCCTACAGCCTTCACCTAACTTAGGGGACAGTCTGGTGTCCAAAGAGAATATGTCTCTTTAGAAGGAGGCATTTTCTTGGAGGGCCCAGGCCCCTTAGAGGGTTTGTGTCTGGGGGTCCCCCGTATATCCTAATGCTTGGGTCGGGGACAGCAAAGCCTGTGGTCTGTTTTCTTCTGCTTTGTGGTAGATTTTAACTCCAGTTTGGGAGGTGGGGCTTGGGTGGTAGGCTGGGTCTATCTTCTGCTTTTTCCCAGGTGGTAAGGTCTAGATATGGACTAACGTCCAACATCGCACAAGTTACTGTGTTGGCCAGTTAGGCAAGTGACCTGCCATCCCTGGGCCTCAGTTTCCCTCCCCCCACAGGGGGAATGCAGCATATTCTTCACAGTAAAGGTGAGCCGGCACCCACCGACTTCTCAGGGCGGTTGGGAGACCCATGATGAGCGAGAGCATGCTTCCAGGAGCGGGGAGTATTTCTCAAGTGGGGGCATCGTCTCAGCCTCCTGTGGTGTCTCACAGAGCCCGTCTGTTCTCTGTCTCCACAGCCCCCACCCAGGCCCCTGAGCTGGAGGGATGGAGAACTCCTCGGCAGCATCAGCCTCCTCCGAGGCGGGGAGCAGCCGCTCCCAGGAGATTGAGGAGCTAGAGCGCTTCATCGACAGCTACGTGCTTGAGTACCAGGTGCAGGGGCTGCTGGCTGACAAGACGGAGGGCGATGGAGAGAGTGAGAAGACACAGTCCCACATCTCCCAGGTAAGCGCTGGCTCGGGGAGGGCCCTGGGCACGTACGGTGACCTTGGCGAACTCCAAGAGGAGTAATAGGGGGGCTCTCATTCTAGGCAGCATCTGGTCGCCTGCCCTAGATTGCCAAGGTTTGGATGGTCCCGCCCAGCAGAGCATGGAATCCAGACAGGAAGCCCCTGGCTGTGCACTCTCAGCCACTCTGACCCACCTCTACTCCTTCCTAACCCATTAGGCTGCTGGGGCCCAGCCAGACTCGCAATTCATGTGACACACATTTATTGAGCACCTACTGTATGCTAGGCACCGTTCCCTGTCCTCGACAAGCTTATGTTCTAGAAGAGATCTGGTGATCGTATTTTATCCAAAATGTATAAAATCAAAAGGCTATAACTTGAATATTTTCTCTGACTTAAAATATAGGCAATTGTTAGCAGCCAAACTCTCAGACAGTCAGGGCTCTGTGGGCCAGAGCTAGTCAGGGGCAGGAGGCGTTCTGACCAGAGTCTCAGGTTGGTCCTGCCCCCTCCTGCATTAGTCTGTGTCAGCCCTGGGCTTGAGTAGGAGGTGGACTTAGCTGAAAGACTGTGGGCCAAGATTTGTAAGCCGTGAGTTCTCCCGAGTAGAGTGTGAACCATTAAGGGCAGTGACCATATCTCATGCCTCTTTGCCTAACTTGGTAAATTCTCAGTAGATATTTGCTCAAGAGTTGCTCCAGGTTTACTTCTAGCTGCCTGTGTGACCTTGGGCAAACTCTCAACCTCTCTGAGGCTTGGTTTTTTTATCCAGCAAATGGGGGTTATCCTGCTGCCTCAAGAATGTTAGAGGGTCAAAGTCAATAAGAGGCTCAGAAGCTATGGAGAAGCAGGGTGTTGCCTTCACAAGGAGACATGGGGTCTTCTGTTCAGAGTCTGGTCCCAGGTGTCCACCTCTTTTACTTGTTGCCCCACCTCAAGTTGGGACTCCTCTGACAAGTAGAGGGGAGCCACTTGGGTGCCCTGCTTTGGAGAAAAGCCAAATGCAACTGGCTGGCTCACTGTCTGGGTGGGCAGAAGATCCAGACCCTCCAGCTTTTTAGAAAGCCATAATGAACTTGTGGTGTTCCTGGAACTCAGGGCCAGGGGCCAACCCGGGAGATTCTGAACCATGGTGGTCCCACTCCTCATCCCCATTGGGGGATAGGGAAGAGAAAATCAGCCCTGAGAGAGAAATGGGAATATATGTGATGCTTTCCTGTGTCCTTGAGGTTCTAAAATCACAATTAGTGTAAACCTATAATTTGTCCAGTATTCACTGTACAAGTGTGTGTTAGGCACTTCTTGTGTGCCTGGTGCTGTTCTAGGGCTGGGTATCGAGGACTGAGCAAGACAGACGGAATCTCTGCCCTCATGAAACTTACATTCTAGTGGTGGGTGATAATTGCTGTGGAGAAAAATAAAGCAAGAAAATGGAATGGGGAGTGAAGAAGGTCAGGAGGGGTTTGAAATTTTAAAGAGGATGTCGGGGAAGATGTTCCGGAAGGAGGTGAAGGGGAGAGCCTGCAGATATCTGGGGGAGGAGCGTTCCGGGCAGAAGGAACAGCACGTGCAAAGGCCCAAGCTGGAAGAGTTATTCCCAGTGCAGCAAGGCGGCCAGTGCGGCTGGAGCAGAGAGAAAGAGGGAGAGCCAGAGGAGATGAATCAGCGAGAAAGCGGGTCATGTAGACAAGATGGGCAAGGGCTGAGCCCTGGGGTCTGCCAGCATTTAGAAAGCAGGGGTGTTGGCAGGGACCAGGAGGGGGTTGGCAGTGACGCAGAAGGAAACCAGCGAGAGTGGTGCTGGGAGCCTGGGAAGGATGTGTTTCAAGGAAGTGGGGGTGCGGATTGACTGCGTTGACTGCTGCTGCAGGCCGGGAAGACAGGACTGAGAATAACCTGTCTGAGCCATGGGGGTGCTATTGGTGACCCTGACTAGGGTCCAATCCACAGTCCTGCGGTGGGGGCCAAGGTCAAGGAGACGGACTGGAGGATAATGCAGATCCTCTCTGTATAACAGGAGTTTCACTGTAAAGGGGAGAGACCTGTGATATTTGGGGAAGTGATGTCAAAACGGGAGCATTAACAACACATTGTGCATTGATGGGAATGGTCCAGGGCAGAGGGGAGGGTTGCCGGAGCAATGCCCTTAAGTAGGTGAGAGGCCTGGCCTTGGCTCGGGCCCCCAGCAGCTCCCCCACAACCACAGAAGGGAGTGGCCAGGCTTGCAGCCATGGATCCAGAATGCTACCAAGTTGCACAACAAAGCTGTGGGTTTCTCCAGCTATTTTCAGCCACGATGGTGCAGGTGCAGTTATGAAGGTGAATTTGACCACGACTGAGGTTTCTCTGGGTGAGGACAGTGGAGGGGGAGAAGGGCGAGGGAGGGAGGGAGTGATGACAGTGACGTCCCCCAACACCGAGCCAGGCAAGGAGGGGGTGAGGACCAGGGGTGGCTGGTGGACGCTGAGGGGTCGTGGGTCAGTGGATTGGAGGTCCTGGGGAATCGGAGAATTGTTGGAGTCCTGGGACCAGAAGGAGTGAGCTGGAAAGATAGACGTGTCCAAGAGTGGGATGTTTCAAATCCAGGTTGGAGGGAGTGCAGAAATTGGCGATGAAAGGGCTGGGTATGAGCGTGGGAGTGCGTGGGGTAGAGGATGGATCAGGAGGAGAGGGGTCGTGAACGGAGGGGCCAGGCATGGGAACCATCTTCACGGATATCGAAATCACCAAGAAAGGAAAAGCAGGTGCTGGAGAGGGTGGCAATGATCTAATTGAAAAGTCTTCGAGGAGTGCAGGGAGTGAGGTGGGGGTGGGTGACCTGGGGGTCTACAGATGACTGCAAAGGAGGCAGTGGGGGGTGCTTTTCTGGTGATGTGTTACTATTTGTACAACTTTGTTTCTTGATTTAAACTGCTCTTATTGTATAGTTAACAATATCTGACCTGAAGTGGAAGGGGGAGGGTGGTCAGACTACAGTGGAAGATTTCTGAGGGAAATGGACCTCTTTGGGTTGTCTGGGGCAGGAAGGGGAGGAACTAGGTGAATCAACTCTTGCAGCCTCCTGTAAGCATCCTAGAGCTGACTTCCCCAGCAGCAGGCCCCGTAGACAGGCGCGTGGGGCCGGCCTGGCATGTGCTGCCCTCCTCCCCTACTGAGTGGACTCTGGTGGCTTCCAGCAGGGCATCCTTCACAGGTCCCTGCAGGTGAAATGGACACTTACAGGAGGAGGGTCCGAGGAAGCCATAAAGCTTCACCCCAGAGGAATGCTTTGCGAATGGTAGAATTTCTATTCCCAGAGCCGCCATCAGGGAGATGATTTTGGAAAGAGGGGCCCTCCCACTGTCTCTGACCTCCCTGTGGTGCCTTGCTGAGCTCCCAGGATATAGAGCAGATAGAGAAGTACCCTCAGTCCCGCCCTGCACTTCCGGCTCCTGCTCCTGGGATAGGTGGGGCCTGACCGTGCTCAATGTCCACATCTGGAGGGGCTTTTAAACAGATGTTTGTTGTGAGGCCGAGTGTGAAAAAATCCGGCCACTTGTAACATCTGGATGCATTCCTTAAAATTTCTGCATTCTCTGAAGTTCCCTGGAAGAATGCAAATACCTGGCCAGACCCCATGTGCTGCTAGCCAAGGAGGGACATTTCAGCCCTGCTCCCACCAAACCCCTCTCACCCACCCCATATTTGCCCACAAACACAGCTGGAGTACAGACTCCAGGGGAGGGGCCAGCTGTGGACAGCTCTAAGCAAGGCCGGGCTTAGATGTGTCTATATAACACTTCTTTAAAAAAATACAATCTCTGTTGACACAGCTTTATGAGAAATCTTTCTGCTAAAACACTTGTGCTTGTTTTTATTTAATCTTATGACTATTTTAAATGAAAGCCAAAAACAAAAAAATCTCAGAGAATGTCCCCGTCTGCCTGTCTGTGGTGGTGTTTTGATGTTTCTGGGAGAGGAAAATTGTTAAGAATCTTGGAAGGCTTGAGAAAACATGAGGGAGTGGAGAAGAATGTTGCTCTTCAGTTGGTGAGGTATTTTTTTAGGATCCGAGAGATGACAGGTGACACTCAGGAAAGAAATGCCTCATGATGCTTGTACAGTTGTGTTCTCCCCTGCCCCACCCCCAGCAACAACTATAGATAGATAGAGCAAACAGGATTCCTTTTCTTTTGATGGGTAACCAAGAGAACGTATGTTCTAAGTTTCCCAATACTTTTGGGATACAATATTTAAAATTACACCCAGGGCCAGCCCTGGTGGCCTAGTGGTTAAGTTCGGCATGCTCCTCTTCAGCAGCCCGGGTTCAGTTCCCAGGCTCAGACCTACACCATTTGTCTATCAGTGGCCATGCTGTGGCGGTGGCTCACATACAAAATAGAGGCAGATTGGCAACAGATGTTTGCTCAGGGCAAATCTTCCTCAGCAAAAAAAAAAAATTACACCCACAGTGAGAGGACAGAAATAAATCCACACATCTATGGAGAGCTAATTGTTGACAAAGGAGCCAAGAACATACAGTGGAGAAAGACAAGTCTCTTAAATAAATGGTGTCAGGAAAACTGGACAGCTACATGCAAAAGAATGAAAGTAGACCAATATCTTACACCATACACAAAAATTAACTCAAAATGGATTAAAGACTTGAAATATAAAATTCCTAGAAGAAAACATAGGCAGTACACTCTTTGACTTCAGTCTTAGCAGTATCTTTTTGAATACCATGTCTCCTCAGGCAAGGGAAACAAATGAAAAAATAAACAAATGGAACTGTGTCAAACTAAAAAGCTTCTGCAGGGCAAAGGAAACCATCAACAAAACAAAAAGACAACCTACCAATTGGGAGAGGATATTTGCAAATCATATATCCGATAAGGGGTTAATATCCAAAATGTATAAAGAAATCATACAACTCAATGACAACAACAAAAAACAACCCAATCAAAAAAATGGGCAGAGGATGTGAACAGACATTTTTCCAAAGAAGATATACAAGATGGCCGACAGGCATGTGAAAAGATGTTCAACATCACTAATTATTAGGGAAATGCAAATCAAAATTACAATGAGATACCACCTCACGCCCGTCAGAATGGCTACTATTAAAAAGACAGGAAAATAACAAGTGTTGGAGAGGATGTGAAGAAAAGGGAACCCTTGTACGCTGCTGGTGGGAATGTAAATTGGTGCAGCCACTATGGAAAACAGTAAGGAGATTCCTCAAAAAAATTAAAAATAGAAATACCATATGATCCAGCTATTCCACTTCTGGATATTTATCCAAGGAACACGAAAACACTAATTCAAAACAATATATGCACCACTGTGTTCATTGTAGTATTATTTACAATAGCCAAGATATGGAAGCAACATTTAAATGTCCATTGCTGGATGAATGGATAAAGAAGATGTGGTATATATACACAATGAAATACTTCACAGCCATAAAAAGATGAAATCTTGCCATTTGCAACAACGTGGATGGGCCTTGAGAGTGTTATGCTAAGCAAAATGAGTCAGACAGAGAAAGACAATTACCATATGATTTCATAGGTGGAAGATAAACAAACAAGCAAACACATAGCTACAGAGAACAGATTGGTGGTTACCAGACGGGATGGGGGTGGGAGGAGGGTGAAAGGAGTAAAGAGGCACATATGTACCATGAGAGATGGCAACTAGACTTTTGGTGGTGAACGCGATGCAGTCTATACAGAAGCCAAAATACAATACAAAAATACAATGATGTACACCTGAAATTTATATAATGTTGTAAACCAACATTACCCCAATTACGAAAAGAATAGGGGGCCAGCCCCGTGGCCTAGTGGTTAAGTTTGGCACACTCTGCTTCAGTGGCCCAGGTTTGGATCCCGGGTGTGGACCTACACCACTGTTGGAAGCCACGCCATGGTGGGGACCCACATACAAAATAGAGGAAGATTGGCACAGATGATAGCTTAGGGTGAATCTTCCTCAGTAAGTAAGTAAGTAAATAAGTAAATAAATAAATAAATAAAAATATACCCTTCCCCACATTTCCAGAGTGCCTGCTCTCCAATGGATTACAAGTCCCCAAAGGCACATCCTGAAAGTTGACCTCACTCTGTCCTTAAGAGAAGGGGGAATTATAGCCCTATTCAGCAGGAGAGAAGACTGAGACTGAGATGGGAAATGGCCAAACTGCACTGCTTGGTGTTGGCTGAGCTGGGCCCTGGTGCCCAACCCTTCCCCACCTACTTTTGTCTCTGATGGGTACACGCTGTGACTAACAGGCTGTTGGGTGATTAAGATATTTTTCCCCTATGGAATGAGAATTAGGACTCCAAATCTCATTGACCATTAACCTTGTGGAAGAGATTGAGGTGTCACAAGAGGGAAAAGTTTGACACTTCTGATGTTAGTAGAAGGTTTAATGGATGATCATCAAGATTTAAAGCAGCATTCACAACTCTGGCTGCACATTAGAATCACTCGGGGAGCTTGGACAAATGTTGATATACAAGCCCCACCCCAGAGTTCAGTTGAATGAAGAGGGGCCTGGGAATTGGCATTCTTGTAAGCCCCCATATGACTCTGATGTCCCACTGAGATTGACAGCCACAGCCACAGGTGGGGCATGTCTGTCTCCCTTCCCCACACCTCCATGGCCTGCTGCCTTATGCTCTATTCTCTTGAAAGGATAGAATGTAGGGATATTGTAAAGAGTGGATACATTTAATGAAGGCATATTTTCCAAAAATTCTTGTTAATAGATCAAATGAAGGGCCAGTGAGGGTAAAGATAACTTTCTATAGTCTTTTTTGATGCTGTCAGGCACTTGGAAGTCCTGGGTTTTGTCTAAAATGCAGAGCAACCTTACCAAGAGAGATGCAACAGTGCAGATAGGAAGAATGGGATAAGAGTACACTCATGGGCTGCATGATGACGTTTCAGTCAACAATGGACCGCATATACAATGGTGGTCCCATAAGATTAGTACCATACAGCCTCGGTGTGTAGTAGGCTGTACCATCTAGTTTTGTGTAACTACACGCTATGATGTTCACACAACGACGAAATTGCCTAACGACGCATTTCTCAGAACGTATCCCCATCTTTAAGCAACACATGACTGTATTCAGATTGGCTTGATGCTTCTCTCTCACAGTGTTTTTCCTTCTCTTTCTTTTCATGTTTTTCTTTCATTCTGCCTTCCCTGTTCACTGTTCCTTCACTCACTTTGATCCCATTCCTTCATTTCCTCCTGCCCTTTGAATCCTTTTCCCCTGCCATCTTTGCTCATAGGAGGAAGCACTCAATGGTGGACCACCCATGAAAGGCTTTACAGAAGAAGTGAGTTTAAGGGGGGACTTTGGGGGTGGTTGAGCATGGGGGACTCATTTTATTAAAAAGTAATTTATTTTTAATTATGCAAGTACTATATGCATACATTGTCATGAATTCTCACACAAGAATTCCAATATTAACAATAAAATCTCCCTTAGCTACCGCCTCATTCCACTACCTTCCCCTACCTTCCATCAGATTGGTGAGTTAACTTCCACACCCTTTTTTAATGCTATTACCAACACATATATATAATATGATTTATAGAAATATATTATTTCAAAATTATATATCATAGCCAGTGAATGTGTTGTGGAATAACCCGCATCTTTCCCCTAACTGTATGCCCTGAAGATTCTTCTGTCTTGTCCATCTGCTGCACAGTAGCCCATCCTATGGATGTCCCATGGTTTAACCGTTCACCTGTTGATGGGAATTCAGGTTACTTTAAAATTTTCCCCTGGAAATACAAGATATTCAGTGAATACTGTTGGACAAGCCTCCTCCTGCATATATACAAGTGTTTCTTTAGGTAGATGCTGAGTAGAGTTAATTTTCATAGCTATTGACAAATTGCTCTCCAAAATGACTGTTCCATTTTTCACACTACCACCAGTGTATTAGCACAAATCATCTCTTGTCGCTTTAATTTGCATTTTCTTGATTTCTAGTGAGGCTGAGCCCTCACTAGATTACCAGTCACTTTTTTAAAAATAGGTTAAATTTTTATTTACTTTTAAAGCAACAATTGGAAAAACAGAGACAGTCAGAAAACAGAGAAAGAAGTCCACCATAATTTTATGACAAAAATGAATGTAATTTTTGTGTATTATTTTTTTTATATATATAACATTTACAAACCTGTGCTTCTAGCATACATATAATTTTTAGCTTGCTTTTTTATTTGGCATGATCTCCTAGACACTGTTTGGCAGTTTTTAGCATAAAGTATAGTTGTTTAAATCCGCTCTTTTTCTGCCGGTTACTGTTGGCTAGATAGTAAAGTATAATTAAAGCTAATATTTATATATTAGGCCCTGTTTAGGCTCTGGAGACAAAGTCATGAACAGAATGGACCACAATCCCTGTCCTCCCAGCCCTTGCTTTCAGGCGGGGAAAGACAGATGACAAAGGAATGGGATGTCAGGAGGTGATGCACAGGAAGGGCACCTATATATTAGGCATACAGAGAGCAACTGTCCTTTGATATCAAGAAGGGACATCCCTGGGGGGACTTTAGAGACCATTGAACAGTGGGGCGGTTTGTCTGTAGCCCCTTCGGCCTCCCTCACTTGCTTTTCCTCTCTCAATGCTCAGCATCTTCCCCTGTCCTTCACCAAGTCTGCTCCTGAAATACTGTACATTCTGGGATGCAAATGGCCGATAACGGATTCTAATTCTTTTTTAGTGTGAAATATTTTAAATGGACTGATAAGAGCAGAGAATAATAGAACAAACACCTATTTTGAGTATTTCCCTGTTTATTAAGTCTTAACCCTGTGCCATCTTTGCTTCAGCTCTTTAAATCAAGAAATAAATTATAACAACAATAATGGAGGCCCAAAACCGCTCCCATGAATTTGATGTTCATTGTTCGCATGTATAAAAATTTCCCATTTTTCCTGCCTCGCTCTGTTCAATGACCTTTTCAAGAGGAGCCGCCTTCACCCCCCAGAGGGCTTGCTTCTAGCTGTAAACGAGTTTACCTTGAAGGAGATGCTCTATGGGTGGGAATCGGGCGTGGGAGCGGGGCAGAGGACAGTGTTCCTGAGGTGGAGCTCTTCTCTCCATTCTGGAATCATCTCATACAGAGAAGGACAGGTTCCAGGAAGGTCTGTATCTGGAGATTTTTCAAGGCAATGGCTCAGAAAAGGCAAAGGGGAGGCACGAGGTGGTGGCTGCAGCCTAAGAAGAAAGAAGACAGCGTATAGCGCGGAATCCCAGCAGACGCGGGGAGGGGAGGAGCTTTGGAACAGGGAAGGGAGAGGTCCCAGGGGGCTTTAGGACCAGGGAAGAAGCACTCGTCCCCGTGGCGTGCTTCACGCAGCAGCAGGGAAAGGAGGTCCCTGGAGCTGCTGCTTGGCTGGGGGGTTGGCGGTGGGATTCATGTGTGAGTGCAAGCCCAGTGACATAAGTGCAGTGATTCACACTTAATTCCTCCCTCTGGCGTCAGGAAAGCTGTACACAGTTGGACCACAGTCCCTCCTCCAACAACTTTACCCGTGGGCCATGCAGTATCCAGCCCTGGCTGGGTCTCTGGGGTGGGTTTCTGCGGACTTGACCATCTTGCTTGCTTTCCCTCGTGCAGATAAGCCCCTCACTCGCTGCTTGTCTGTACCATGCTCTCAGATCCACTTTGTCAGTTCCAGCCTCCCGACCTGCTCTTCCCCACACACGCGCTGCCATCAGTTCAGCCTCCCCTAGCACAGCGTTGCTGACACCCCTCCCCTAACAGAAGGCTTCCGACCCCGTCTTCTCCAGGAATCCAGGCTGGCCCATTTTCCTTCCCTAACCACGCCTGCCCAGAGCACACTCTTCCTTCTCAGCCTCGCCCTCCACCTCTCCTTACATTCCTGTTATTGGACGTCTCACCTCTCCTGTGAAAGGAGAAGCTTGTTGCAGGTCCCACACCAAAGGCACTCAGGAAACCGCTTCTAGTTGGCTGATGTAAAGTTAAGGGTGACTTTGACAAAGCAGAACAGTCTGGTCGGAGCTTGAAACTGCTCTTGGAAAGCTTAACCACGGGGGTGAGGTTGTATGTGCCTGTGAAAGAAGCCGGGCCTCCTCTCTGTGCATACTTCTCAGGAGGAGCCATCGTGGTTCCCCAGCCCCACCCTGCCGGGGACCATGGAGTCTCCCACCCTCGGGTCACCATTCTATGGGTTGTCACATCAGCACTATGCATCTGGGGTTGAAGTGTCCTGGGACGCCCTGAACGGGGAAAGCCTTTCTCTGTAAGGCTGTCCTAGGATGGGATGAGGAATGCATGATCTAATCTTCTCCCCAGCCAGTAGTCACTACGTGCCTTGGCCGACCCTCACCCTGACAGCAGGCTCCAAGCAGGAAAGGAGAAACCACTCCAAGTATATAGAGCAGAGGGATTGTTTTTACAGTAGTTTAAACATTTTATATATAAATATATATACACATGCACATATACACACACATGTATATACATATGTATATATTATTCAAAAATACGTATGCATACATACATATATGTACTACATTTTATTCTGAAATTATTTCAGACTTATAGCATGGGTGCAAAAATAGTACAGAGTGTTCTCATATACGTGTCACCCAGCTTCTCTTAATATGAACATCTTACATAACCATACTGCAAATATCAGAACTAAGTTGTTAACATTGGTACAATGAGACTTTATTCAGATTTCACCAGTTTTTCCACTAACGTCTTTTTTCTGTTCCAAGATCCAAATTTGCATCTAATTGTCATGTCTCCTTATTCTCTTCCAATCTGTCACATTCTTGGTCTTTTCTTGTCTTCCATGACCTTGACACTTTTTGTGTGTGTGTGAGAAAGATCAGCCCTGAGCTAACATCCACACCAATCCTCCTCTTTTTTGCTGAGGAAAATTGGCTCTGGGCTAACATCCGTGCCCATCTTCCTCCACTTTATGTGGGGTGCCACCATAGCCTGGCTTGACAAGCAGTGCATCTGTGCGCGCCTGGGATCTGAACCCCGGGCTGCCGCAGCGTGCACACTTAACCACTACGCCACCGGGCCAGCCCCCATACCTTGACACTTTTGAACAGTACTGGTCACTTATTTTGCAGAAAGTTCATCAATTTGGGTTGCCGAATGTTTTCTCATAATTAGATTGAGGTTGTGCTTTTGGGGAAGAACACCTCAGAAGTGATGTGCCCTTTGCTGGGCATCATATTGGGGAGTCCGTGATGTTGATGTGTTTTATTACAGGTGATATTATCCCCCATCACTTGGCTAAGGTGGTGACTGATGGATTTTTCATTTTCCATTTTTTTCCTCATATAATTAATAAATAGCTTGGAGGAGATGCTTTAAGACTGCAAATATCCAGACGGGGAAATTTAATCCGGGGAGTTGGTTACCCACAGATAAAAGAGTTGAGAATCTAAACAACCCTGAGATCAACAATTGCAGGAAGCCATTGCCACCTCTAGGCCTGAGGCACAAAGGGAGGAGATGGTGTTGCCAGAGCCCAGGGGTCAGTGTCATGCACAGAAGGCCTATCTGGTAGGGCTGGAGTCATGAAGGAGACCCAGTCCCTGCTGGTAATGCCACCTGAGGCATAGAGGGGAGGGGGAAGATACGCCCTGGCTTCTCCCTTCTTGTCTCCCATTGGCTGAACCCAGCTGGAAGCCAGCTGATGCAGGAGCCTGGGAATCACAGTCTGCAGGGGTCAGCCCCTCTGTGATACAGAGCAGGGATGGGCAAACAGTCTATCTGAGGGCATGCTTGCCTGGGACTGGTACCTTGCCTTTGCCGATTTGCTTGAGCTGTGCTGTCCAATATGGTAGCCACTAGCCACATGTGGCTCTCCAGCACTTGAAATGTGCTCTATTGTGGATTTCACAAACTTAGTATGGAAAGAAGAATGTAAAATATCTCATTCACAATTTTTATATTAATTACTTGTTGAAATACTAATATTTGGATATATTGAGAAAAACAAAATGTATTATTAAATTTAACTTGACCCTTTTCTTTTTGCTTCTTTAAATCTGGCTACTAGATCATTTAAAATTAGGTCTGTGGCTCTCATTTTATTTCAGTTGGACAGTGCTGCTCTAGAGTACGCTTGCACCGGCCTGTGTCATCAGCATTGTAATAAAAAGTCTTTCCTATACAAAGATCACGCCCTTAACCCACAGTCAGGAGGGCGTGTCCAGCCAAGGTTTTATAAAACTGGACTGCACTGGCCTTGGGCCATCCACACTCACCCAAGTTTTGACCAAGTGTGTCAAACAGAAAGAGACTGGGCTCCTCTGCTTTTCCTGTATCACACAGACTGTAGGTCAAGGTCAATGTTCAACATTAGCCCAGAGGCTAGCTAACGTTTAACCCAATAATAAAACACCACCACATGGCTAGATAGCATAGCGCCTTACAGAGGAAGAGCTGACCTGTACTACTACTTCATATCTTTACGGTGTTTTTATAGTTTACAAAGGTCCTCATGTCAACCTTGCAGAGTCACCCAGCCTTGCAGTCCCCATTTTACAAGTAATGAAATGAAGCCTGGGAGATCACGTGGATTCCAGTAGCTCCCAGACTTCTGGTGCATCACGTGGGGCGCTTGTCCAAATGCGGAAGCTCAGGCCCTACCCTCAGAAAGCCTGATTCAGTGGGTGGAAGGTGGGGCCCAAGGATCTCCATGTGGCAGGCTTTGGGGACTCTCACACAGGGGATTGTCAGACCACACTTCGGGGCACGCTAGGCCTCTGAGCTCTCAGGGGCTGAGTGGTGGGTTTAAGCTTGAGCCAGGCTTCTGATGACTAGTCTGGGGCTCTTCCCCAGTGCCAGGCTGTCCTGTCAGTCCACAGGTCTATTGTCTTTTGGAGCTGGGTATACAGGAAGATCCGCACATGCTTGCCTCACCTCCAGCTCCGGCCTTGACACTGTGGACGGCTAGTGCAGCTGAAGCACAGTCAGGCGGTCAAACGTGGTGCTGGTTGTTTGAAACTTACAATGACCCTGTGCTGCGTCTGGTTGACTCTGGAATGTAGCTGGATCCTTATCACTTTGGTGGGCTAGGTGAAGGGAAATGAGTTTGCCTTCCCCGACCATACACCAAAGGGTCACCTCCATGTGGAATCTGGAGATGCCAACTGGGACCTGCTGGGGGAAGGATTTGCTGTTGCAAATGGCCGAGCAGGATTTTATACTGGCTCTGCTGCAGAAGGGCAGGGCTATGCCGGGGGCGGGGGGCCTGCGCAGAGTGAGGATGAGCCCGTGTGTCCTGCCATCACTGACCACTCCTTTCTCCCCTGCAGTGGACAGCGGACTGCGGTGAGCAGCTGGACAGCAGCTGTTCCTTCTCCCGAGGGCGAGCCCCCCTACAGCAGGTAGGGAACCAGCTTTGTGCTCCATCTGAGGCTGTCATGTGTCTTGTCTGTCTGGGTTCCTGGGCTGGCCCATGGCTCTCCTGAGAGGTGGGGATATGGAGAGAGCAGGAAATGGGAGAGGAGAGGGTGCAGTCTGCCCTCTGGAAAATTCTCCCTGAACCCTCAACCAACAGTGAAGCTCCCTGGAACATGTAGACTCGTGAGATGTCTTTTCAGTAGCTGCATTATTTATAATAACAAACATCTGGAAACAACCAAGTGTCGATTGAGAGGAGAATGGATAAGTGATATGTGATATATCCTTATAGTGGAATATTATACAGCAGTAAAATGAATGATCTGGAGGTTCACCCATCAATGTTGGTGGATCCTACAAACAACGCTACTCCTAGGATTTTGGTGCTGGTGGGACACTTCACAGATCACTTCTGCTCCAGATTTGCAGAGGACCCAGAGGGGCAGACAGGGGATGAGGTGTCAGAGACCCGTCCATTTCCCCCCGGCCAACCAGCTGTCCTGGGACCAGGCTGGAGCCCACTGCTTCTCTCCCCGCTGCTGGCCTGTGAGACCCTGAGGGAGCTCCGTGTGGGTCACATGGCCAGGAGGGAAGGAGGCAGCTGCTCTTCGAGAGCTGTCCTGGGGACCTCCAGGCCCCTGTGCGTCCTCTGTCTGTCCAGCTGTTCTTGCTGATACCTCATCCCTGCCTGTGGGAGACAGTGGGATTAGAGGCTGAAAAACCCATTTATCCCCAGCCCCCAGCCCCGCCTCACACTGCGCCTGTCCAGAGACATGAGGGAGCCTTCACGGCAATAACTTGCTCCCAATTTCAATGCAGCTGCATTAGCACATTGCCTGGACCCACTTGCTTCTGTCCGACTTGGGTCCCACAGTGCTGATTCAACTAACTCTCTATTCTGTCCTGAGGGAAGATGGTCGGTGGCCTCAGTTCTAGATCTTTCTTAGGCTGGAGGGCTTTGCTACACCATGGTGCGGGGAGACGGCCGCCCTGGATAGTTCTCTCCCATTATAAGATGTTTGTGTGTGTGTGTGTATTTGTCTCTTAAGTAAGAGGCCATAATAAGATCCCTGGGAGGCGGGTGGGGAGGAGACCCAGGTTCTTCATTTTGCTCTGCCACAAACTTAGTGGCAATCCTCTTCATCCTCTGCTTGCTCGTATAAAAACCAGGAGACTTGATGACCTCTGAGGGTCCTTCTAGTGTCTTCATTCCATTTGCAGATGAGGAAACTGGGGTCCACGGAGGTGTAATGGCCTGACAGAGCTGAGACTTGAACCCAGGTCTCTTGCTTACCCCCCACCCCCCAATTTGACCTTTCACCTTCCTTCGCTGTGGTAGGTATCCTTCTATGGAGGTCTTTTGTCCCTACCACTAGACTGCCAGTGCTTGGTCAGGGACCCTGTGTTATACTCCCTGAACCCCTCCACCTCTTGGCCTAAGGCCTCGCACAGCGGGGGCACCGTCTCTAGTGTCTAGTGCCGATTATCCTGGGATGATGGGGCAGCTCTACTGCCCACATTCACCCGTGGGGGAGAATTAGGTTCATTGGGAACTGAGGCTAAATTGAGACTGGGGTGACTGGCTGCTCTGGCACTCCACCTGCCTGCCCCACCTTGGCCACATGCACCCAGGAAAGGGGGGCCAGCAGGAGGATGCTAAGGTCCAACATTCTGCCCAGGAAGCTCTCTGTGGTGGCTCACAGACCATGCTCTGAGTGAGGAGCCCAGGGGCAGGCGCCATTTGGGATGGCACTGCAATTATTTGTTATTTCAACTAATGTAAAAAAGAAAAGCCTTGCCTTCTCTGACCCCTTTTAGAGGCTTAAAGTAGGGGTAACCCAGGGTAGGTTGAGTCCCATGAGATGTCCAGAACAAAAAATGGACTACACACAGTCCTGAAGATGCCTGTCCAGGTGCCAGCAATAGGGATCATTTGGCATCCTGGCAGCCTCTTTCCAAGAGAGCTTGTCCATCACCTAGTCATTTAGTTAGGAGGTTGGAATACAGTTTCTGCCTTTTCGTTGTATTGGGGGAAATGCGTGGAGGTGATTTACAGGAAAGTACCTGAAATGAGAGAGTGCAATCCAGTGCATTTAGAAAACATTTCAAGGTGCTGACATGGGAATCGGCGTTCAGGGAAGAAAGCTGAAGGCATAGAAAAGTTGTATGGGATCAGGAGCGAGCAGCTCTTCTCCATCTGCACAGAAGTGCCAGGGAAAGGAAATTAATGTGCACAACAGCACCAGGGCCTCTGCTTAGACCTTGAGAAGGACTTCCTGACTGAAAGACTTGTTGGCCTGCAGTGTTGGTTGTTGAGCAAGGCGATGAAATCTTTGCTGGAAACCTAATGAACACACCTCCTTATCAGGCGGGTTCATGCGAAGCCCTGGGAAAGGTGGGGGTGTGTCAGAAATGATGTCTTGAAGTCTTGGCTGATAGTGTGTGATCCACACTCCCTGGAATGATGAGAGAAGGGCACTCCCCTGTTCCATCATGATGCCCGGTAGCAAATCGAGGCATCAGGAGAGAGTGAAAGAGCCTTGTCCCAAGGGTCAGGACAACCAGATGTTGACCCACGTGTGGCACGCAATGCCTCTTCTGCAAAATGAGCCACTGGGCTGCACAGACTTCTCTGAGCCTCTCTGGACATCTCCTTCATTGTTTACATTTTATGTCTCCATGAAATGACCAACTGGATCCAACCAGCTGCTGAGAGCTGCAGCAGGTCTGGGTTTTCCTGATTTCTCCACTGTGCCCCCACCCACTCTGGTACCTGTGCCAACCTGCAGACGAGGTACATCCTGGGGGCCAACACTGACTCTGACCCGGGGATGACAGGTGGTACGCAGAGGTGAGCCTCAGACACACTGCTTACCTCTGGCCACAGAAAAGGGTAGAGAGAGTTTTCTGCCAGTCATCTTGCTGCCCTCCAGTAATTATAATATTTGATTCGGTGCCAATTTAAAAACTCATTAGTATGAATAATATCTTAGCACAAGTACCTAGATTTTTAATCAGCTTCTATGGGTATTTAAGAAATATCATGTATATGTCATGGGGTGGTTCTTTATTTAGTCAGCATTTATTAAGCACCTGCTGTGAGCGTGGCAGACGCATGAGCTGGAGCCTTCCGGATCCCTACCTGTTTGTGGAGTAGAGGCTAGTTAACATGAAACAGGCTGAAGGCACACACGTTAAGTCCCCCAAAGAGACGTCCTGGTCACAGACGCTGCACTCATACCAAAGAGTGGTCATGTTGGTCTGTGCAGGTGGGGAGGTGTCTTGCAGGTTGTGAGACTTGATCTGTGCCTTCAGGAATGGGTAGGATATTTGGCCAGATGGAAGGGAAGAGAGAAGAGGATGAAGAGAGAACGGTATTAGCAAAGGCTCAAGTTGAGCATAACATTGGGATGTTAGGGCGATGGGAGAAAGCACAGCTAGAGTGGATGTTTAGTGTTGGGTGTTCCTAAAGTGGTGGGAGATGAGGTGCTGAATGCGGAGGGGTCTGTGTGCTCCACTGAGATGCTGGAACTACTGTCCGACCCCACCCCTGTTTGTGTACCTGGTATATCTTACATTTTCTCTGGTTTTCCATACAGGTAAAGTCTGTCCCCTTGTATCAGTCAGGATAGTCTAGATAATGCTTCAGTAACAAACAGCCCTGAATCTCAGTAACTTTAAACAAGCCCATTCAGGACCCAGCTTGATAGAGTGGTTGCTATTTTAACCAGACATCAGAGGGAAAAGAGCACTGGAGGGTCTTGCATTGTCAATTCAACGCTCCAACCTAGATGTAACACACGTCACTTCTTCCACTCTTAGCTTGTTGCCTGGAACTGGTCACATGGCCCCACCCAACCATAAGAACACTAAAAAGTATAACCCTGTTATGTGCCTGGAATGGGGAAAACCAGAACTATTTAGTGACTGGCTAGAATGACTGTCACATGCTGCACTTCTAGTAGAAGGTCACCAGAGGCTGAGCTGACCTCTTTCTTCCCACATCCAATCCAGAGCTAAGGAGGTCTCCAGCGAACCCTAAATCATGGGCTTTCAAGATGACAAACAGCTCAGAGGACACCTGATCCAACCCCCCACCCTGCAGTGCAGAAACCCCCTCGTGTGGCTATTGAGCTACTGGACATTTCCAGAAATGGGGAGCTCACTGCTTCAAAAAGCATCACAGAGCATTGTTAGGCAGCTCCTAACATTGACAACAATTCTTTCTTTGATTCAGCCCCAAATCCCCTTCTCCTAACTCCAGCTGATGGTTTTAGTTTTACTCCTTTTGCCCATGGCTATTTGGTCTCTCCCCCAGTGTCCACCGTGGCAAGTCTGCTTTTGAAGCCAAATATCCTCATTCCTACAGCTGTTTCCCTTTGTCATCTTAGCTCATTCAGTTGTTTATTTACTTGTTCTTTCATCCATTGATCCAATCAACAAGCCATCATTGAGGGCCATCTGTGTGCCAGGCACTGTGCTAGGAACTAGGAATCGGGATGGTGAAAGAGATGGGCACGGACTCTGTCCACGTAGAGGGTAGAGTGGGGAGGACAGGCTTCTGAACCACAGTGCTGAGAAGTCTGGAACATGATACGATGGTTCTTAGGTCCTATCCCATCCGGGGTTACCCACTTGGAAGCACTATGAGTATGGACTATAATTCCTCTTAATAAGCCTCCTAGAACTGAACACAGTCCAGCTGGCATGATCTGATAGTGTCACCTCTGCTGTTCTCAGCACATGAGCCTCTCTTTTCCAGAAGATGTCACCTATCACTGTCTTGCAGGTGCTTTCTGGCTTCTGCTCACCTGGAGGAACCAGGATACAACACTTATCGAACAATATTGATGGTTGACTTTTATAGGGAGAACAATCAGCAACCACGCGTTGAGCATCTGCTGTAAACAGTATGAGCCATGTGGCCTGGTCTCTGCCCTCAGAGAACCTAGAGTCTGCTTAGAGAAATAAGACTTTCTCAAGT